TCTTCTGGCCTGAAACGATTTGATGATGTTAATAGAGTGATATTCACTTGTATCAATGGCATGTCACCAAATGCCTCAAGCAGCAACGAAGACGAAAGATTTTCTAATTCAGTATCATCGACGTCTTCCACTAGCTCAGTGGCTTGCACTTTGATAATTTGATGATCTTCCAGTACGAGTTGGGCCGATATTCGAATTGCTTCATTCAATGAAATCTTAGCACGATCACAATGAGCTACAAACATATGCTCCTCGATAACAGCATCTTGGGCTAATTTCCGGCGAGAGATCTGAGTAGCCATCAGACCTTGAATCTCTACTCCTCCAGCTTTTATCGTGTCTATCTCTTTATATATTCTTACCTGTAATACTATAATAAGACAAGTAATGTAATACGCTTTATATTATGGAAATCTTTTACACAATATTTATGAATTGAACGAAGAACTTTTAGTAATGGAAGTCAATTACGTTTATCCATGTCTGTTGTAACTTCTGCATTATCTATGTTATCCCGTAGTTTCGAAGCATGAAGCACTGGATTGATCACTAATTTTTTAATACCCGTAGGAACACACAATTCCCTAGTATCATATCCGATAATTTGCATTTGTAACATACTATCCATAAATGTTTCCCAATTATTTTTCCAAGCGATATGTCCTTGGGTTCCCGAAATAGAGGCACTTTTTAATCCACGAAATAAGCCCCTGTACTGGTATCCACGCAATTTCAACTCTTTGTAGATATCTCGTGCAGTCATATCTTCATCTTCATCATAATTTTCCGATAATATGTTTATCGGAATCATTTCTTCTTCTGGATTTAATGCCTCGTACACTGTACCTGTGACAACAACGCTATCTCCTTCGGTTATTTCGAACTTTCCATCTGTAATATTTGTATAAATTTGACTATATGGCATTTTTGTCATCGTACTACATTAACCGTAATCGATATTCGCTAATCCATCGGACTCAAATATTTTTTTCAACTGCCTAAAGAATTATATTATAATAAATGCGTGTTTAAACAATAATTTATGGTAAAATGGACCTGCGAATACTGTCATAGAAATTTCAGAGAAAATCTCAATTAGAATTAAAACCACTCATCTCGTAAATACCTGTCTGTATTGCAATATATAGTTTCACAGCATTATTTTTCAACAAATTAGTAGCCCGAATAAATTTTACATCTCGGAAAACTATCGGTACCGTTGTGTGCAGTACACCTTTCATCATGCCAATAGTTCTCCAAATGAGTCCCAAATAACCTGTTGCGGGTAGCAAATTTCTCCCATCAATTACATGACCTCTCATATATTCATAGTCCTCGTCGTCGAGTAAAATGTTGACGTATCTCCCTCTTGATTTTATAAACTCGTATTCTTCTTTCGTTGTAAACCAATTTTCAGAATGGTCCCATCTGATTTATTATAATTAACGTTTATATGTGTATAATTATACATACAGGTATACATATAATATACTACTACTTATATATGTAATATAAATAAATATTATTTTATATGATCAAAAATTGTGTCTAATTGCATGTTTGTAATTAATAATACATATTCTATATATTTGTACGTACATAGAGGAAAGCCTACTATTATGAGATAGGCGCCTAATATGAGATAGCGGCATTTCTGCTAAACGCTATCTATTGGTTCTACCACAAATTTATTGTTTTTGGATTGAAAATTATTTAATGAAAAATTCATTATTAGAGCATACCTGTAGTCGTTGTAAAAAAAGATTTTAGAATTTAGATGTCTTTAAGTTTCATTAAGATGAGCCTTTAAACCTTGTTTATTATTTAATAAGTAAATCGGTATCTCGTAATAGGGACCTTTTCGCTGTGTGCGTGCGTGCGTGCGTGCGTGCGTGCGTGCGTGTGTGTGTATGTGTGTGCGTAAAAGAAAAATGTGTGTATATATCTTGGCGGAAAAAATTTTATGGCTACGTTTACACCGTGCATTTAGACCGCGACCTTTACAATAGATGTCCTTGTTTATCCTGTATAAACAAAGACATCTATCGTATAGGTCGCGGACTAAGCGCACAGTGTAGCCTATGCCAAAGTACGCCAAAAACTATTTCTAAATACGCGGTTTGGAACATGGAAGTAGTTTGGCGTAGAATTCTACTCCTACATCACAAAGAGTTATGCTTCCTACGCGAAACCACATCCTAAGCTAGTTTCGGGTACATTTACACTGTACTGTTTAAAGTAACATGATGGTATCTTGAACTCATTTGGCATAAATTCAAGATGCCATCACGTTGCTGTCATGATGGAATTAGAATTCCATCGCAGCATGGATACTTTAGTATTATGCCGGGTCTATAATGAGTCTTTAATCTGTAGTCGGTAATCGGAAGTCTTATGCGGGGTCTACAATAGAAGTTGTAGCAGTCGCAGAGTCTTAAGTCGTAGAAAATTAACCAATCACAATCAAATATGAGAAGAATAATCGACTCTGATTAGTTAATTTTCTACGACTTAAGACTCTACGACCGCTACGACTTCTATTGTAGACCCCACATTAAGTCTTAACTTAAGTCGGTGATTTTAGGATTTTTCACATCTACAATGAGTAGTTGTATAATGAGTCGTTTGATTCGACCAAAGGGAAAGAAGTAAGCTGAATTTTCATAAACATTAGCAAAGACGCTGAAATACAATACCGGATATGAAATTGAAGATCATTTATTTGTGCTTAATTAACTGGTAATAGTGATAGTGATGGATGATGATGTAATTATAGTCATTATGCTGATGCAAATGAAATTGTTATTCTCGATGGAAGTATATGATGCTTTGAACATATGCAATGGTCGCAGGTTAGTCGTTTTTATTTACTGAAAATATAAAAAAGATGATTTATCTAGATATTGAAACATTTAAGTTTGGATTTTAATAATTTCAAGATCGTCCAGATTCATTTCTTAAAAATTCAACAGCTAGATTACTCACTAAATAATATATGCGTAATACATAGGCGCTATTTTTTCAAACTGAAGATGCCACCGAAGCTACATGATTGGTCAGTCATAAGAAAGTCAATAGTTGGTAATCTTAAATGTTGGCTGTTGGCCAACCTTACCGATTCACCGATTACGATAGCCCTTCCGACTTACCGATAACGGCTTAAGGCCTAGTCTACAACCAGTCGGAAGACGTCGTATGTCGTGCCGTACGAAATTAACCAATCACAGTTGAATATGAAGAAAATAATCGACCATGATTGGTTAATTTCTTATGGCACGACGTACGACAACGTCTCCCGACTGATTGTAGACTAGGCCTAATACTAAATAATTAAAGACTTCCAATTACCGACTAAAGATTCATTGTAGATCCGGCATTAAAGACCAACTTTGAGGGTTCACTTCACATGCGAAATGCTGCGCTCCTTATATATTTTCCCAGGTGATTCTTATTTACGAGTTTATGCATCTCCGCCATGGTCTTCTGTCGGCGGAGATGCATAATGCTCACGAATGAGTAAGAGTAATTCCGCGTAAAATGGCGTAGAATGGCGTACTTTAATTGTTACAAACGGAAAAATTAAAAGGTAAGTATTGTACTTTGGCATAGTTTGTCATAGAAACACGTAGCTCAGAAAACGATTTTAACATGCAACCGCGTAGCTTGGCGTAGATAGGCCTAGTTATTTCGATGCCCAACTATTCGATTGTAGAGTGTGATTCTGCATAGAAAGACATAGAATGGCATACTTTATCCGAATACTTACGAAAAAATGAAAACCAGAGGATATCGACTTAGAAACGCGTAGTTCAGAAAGTAATAATCGTTATAGTTGCGCGTACTTCGGCGTACTTTCTGTACCTAACTAGGTCTAAGTATGCCATTTTACATTTTTCACATAAAAACGCGTAGCTTGACGTTGTTATTTCTATGCCCAACTATCAGACTGTAGAGTGTAATTTCGCGTAAAAAAACGTAGAATAGAATAGTTAAGTAATAAAGGGGATTAACCAATCAGAATTATTGGGGTGCATTACTGTTCGTCTGCACATATATATTAAATACAAGATTATCGAAATTGAATTTATATACGTATAAAAAAAATTATTCATTAATAAATAATTGTTCAACAAGTATTCATTAATACATAAGTATTCATTTTTCCAGCAAATAAATATAACTATTTATAATACATCATATGGTTCAATCGTTCCATTAATATAAATTAAAAATAAACGTGAGAAGAGCTACGAACCAAAAGACAACATGTAAATATGTAAATATAAGATATAATATAATCACTAAGAACTAAATTAAATTTTTTGAGCCAAACATTTTGAGCCCGATCGGGTCATCTTCATTCTCGTCAGATGGAAAGGCGAGGGCTATTTAGATAACTCTTTATACAGACGATTACTTACTACTGATGGTAACTCACCCAGAGCTTACGGCTTACCTAAAATTCACAAACCGGGTAATCCACTTAGAGTCATCGTTTTTCTGTTAACAGTCTGCTATACTATTTCTCTCTTTTTCTACATAATATCATTCACAGCAATATTCCTGAGGTTTCGAGTCAGGTAAAAAAACAGCTTTCATTTGGTCCACAAATTAAATGGTCTGTTTTTTCGAACCTGATTGTGTTTTAGCTTTCTTAGATGTGGTTTCCTTGTTTACTAATATTCCTATAGATTTGGTGGCTGAGAGTATTAAAAAGAAATGGGACCATATATCTCAGAATACTACTATACCGTTAAGTGAATTTCTCATCGCTGTAAACTTTGTTCTGGATTCTACGTTTTTTACTTTTAATCAAATCTTTTACAAACAAATTTTCGGCACCTCCATGGGGTCACCTATATCTCCAGTTATTGCTGAAATAGTATTACAGGACTTAGAAATATTAGCCATCGAAATGTTACCTATACAGCTCTTGTTCTATTATCGCTACGTAGACGACATTGTTTTGGAGGCTTTCTCTGATACTATGAATGAGATTCAGAACATTTTTAATTCATTACACGCTAGTTTACAATTTACTATTGAAATAGTTACTCAAGGTAGATTAAATTTTTTAGACACGACTATAATTGTTGAAAAGAATAGAATTATTTTTGATAGATTCCAGAAATCTACATGTTCAGGGAGATTTCTCAATTTTCATTCTCACCACCCTTTTTGTCATAAAAGGGGTGTTATTATAGGGGCAGTAGACAGAATCATATTACTGTCTCACCCGAAATTTCAGGAAAAAAATCTTGTAGATGCTATTCACACGTTTTTGGAGAATGGTTATCCCCTCCACTTCATATTCTCCACGATTCAAAACAGACTCTTTTTTCATTTTCGTAACAGTAAAAACTCACATTTCTTATCTTCCAAAAAAAAAATAACTGTTGACAAATTTTTCACCATCCCTTATATCAAATCAGTCTCTGAAAGCTTTAGGCCTAATGCCTTAAAAATGAATTCCAAATTAGCTTATTCCATTCCGAACACTTTAACTGGAGGAGAACAAATAACTAGAGGAGAAGATGGTATTATGGCATCCCAGTTTCATTTTACACAATAACTTTGTTAATAATCAATGTTTAAGTTTAAAACTTGACAATTACATTCGTTAAAATGTTGTTGAATCGATTCTGGACTCAAAGTAACGAAATATTTATTACTTAGCATACTATTAATAAAAATGTGGCGACATTGCATAAAGACTCGACGAAAAAAATAGGTGGTAATATAACCTTCCATAAAAATAGTCTTAAAATATTAATTTTATTTAGAAAACAGTATTTGGTTACAAAATTAACAAAAAAGTAAAACATTTTAAAATGTATGCAAATGAATGTATATACATTCACATAACTTCTGCATATAAGCTGCTAAGTACTAAAAATTTCAGTACTAAAAATAGTACACGCTATATAAACTATAGATTAACAGTAGAGCTACAATCGATTATCAAATAACTATTTTGATATGAAAATCTCAAAAATGAGGTCGTGAGTAATCAATATTCATAGAGGGCCACATTAGCAAAATGCCATGGTATTGTTTAAATTTGCATAACTCAAAATATATGCAGTCAAATAAAATGTTAAACAGCAAATACACACTTAAAAATACATATATTGATGTGATAGTAAAAAGTAAAAATGCTTGAAAAGTAAAAAGTAAAAATGATTGAAAGTAAAAATGCGTTATAATAAATGCTGGCTATTTGAGTATTGGTAATATTAGCGTCATGGTGTAATGGCGAGCTACTGAGAGACGTTTTCTCATAATACAGTTTCAAAATTTTAACGTATTTTTATATTAACGACGAAATAAGTGTATCAACTTTAGTTTTAAGTAAAAAGTTTTTGTATTAAAACAGATACTATGAATTTTTTATTATTGGACACTGTAATATTATACATTATTTTATA